GGATCAATGTAATGAATGACTGATTAAATTCCACCACATTAGCCTTGCCACAATGGAAGTCGGAGAAGAAGGCTATGATCTCACCTTTGATACTATTCCAAAATTTCTTATAAATCCAAATTAAATCCATCAGGACCTGGCGCTTGATTCCCATCAAGCAATTGAATTGCTGCCCAAACTTCATCCTCCGAGAAAGGAGCTTCCAAAGCCCACTTCGAAACCGGCTTCACCATTTTAAGATTAGCCCCAAGTTTTTTAATAGGGATAGTTTTAACCTCATTATAGTAATCCCAAAAGTGATTTTCGAAAACCATAGCAATCTGCTTCTGGTCGAGGAACTCTGTCCCACCAACCCGAATAGCTGAAGTAAAATTAGTTCTCCCTCTAATTGAGGATGAAAGGTGAAAAAATTATGTATTCTTATCTCCTTCCTTAAACCATTTCAATATCGATTTTTGGAGTCATTCCCTCTCCTCTCTCCTATTCCCCGCCCACAACTCCGCTTTTAACGACCGAAGTTTAGAGGAGACTGCACCATCCACTTCCAAGGAAGGCAAATTCACCGCTAAGGCTGCAATTTTATCCTCTAGTACTTGAATAGATTCTTTTTCACCCATTTTGACAACATTTGCCCACATTTTAGTAGTCATCTTAATCTCACACAGAAATTTCCCCACACCCTTTCCTTGACGTTTGGAGCTAAAATTTTCTACCAAATCAACATAACCGCGATCATCTGCCCAATGAGACAATCACTTGAACGGTTTCTTTCCCCCACCAAATTTTGCATCTTTTAAAATGACTGGATTATGGTCCGAAAGACTTCTGGGGAGAGAACTTGTTTAGACTCCATATGAGTCCATATCAAGTACCTAATCTTAGTTAGACTCCATATAAATATAAGAACTTGATTTTTTCCTATCAATTTTCTGTTATAAAAAAAGATACCAAACATGTTTTTATATTATTAGTATTAATAAAAATATACATTTGTATTTACTAAACATATTTTTTAAATCTCAAAAAATAAAAACCACTTTGTATAAATGAAATTAAATAATAGAAAAATCAAGAACCAAAAGAACCTAAAAGGTTTTTCAAATATTCATGCTACCAGTACTAGGAGATAATTTATTTTTTAAAAATTGGTATTATTCTGGTCTGGCTTTGTTGTTATTTATGTAATGAAATTAATATTGAGGTTGTATATTGGCAAAGTTCAAGAGCCATTATCTTTAAAATTTACAAATTTTAATTATATGATTTGCATGTGAGGATGTTTGATTCTTGTTCCTCACATGTTTCCCCCCTTACAAGGCTTTAATGTTTGTTAAAACACCAATCCTTGTCTCTTAAGCAGTGTTTATTATACAAAAAATTGATATAATCAATGAAGATTCACGTTTTATAAAGCATAATAAATCTATACAATCGATTCCCCTTGTTTTTTACTCTATTTGTATTTTTATTATCCTCTCCCTTGTTTTACTGATCGAGGGATATAAATCTTCATTATTAAAGGGTTAAAAATCTTTTAAACGTATACTATTTACGTTTATCTCAAATTTATGAAGAAAAAAAAATAAAGTTTATATGTTTTCACTTGCACAAAAATTCAAATGCATGATTACGAGAACTCAAAGGCTTTTCATGGATCGAGTTCTACCATTGGTGCAAATACGCAAAAATTCAACACTGAAAACGATAATGGAGAAATTAATAATGAGACTAAGGTGGTGTTTGTTTTTACAGAGGTAAAAGGTCTGAAGTCTGTGGACTACATCTGCAGCAGAAGAGGTGAATCAAAAGTCTGCAGTCTGTAAGAAGAAGACTGTTTGTTTTTTAACGTCTGCATACTGCTAAAATAAACTGAAATATAAATAAACTGATTTTTTAAACTATACTCAAATAACCATTTTTGATGTTAATTTTTTAAAAATTATAAAATGTCATTAAATTTAATGAATTATTACAAAATAGTCACTATAATGTTGTAATAAATTATACAAGTTTGATAATATAATAATTATTTTATAGTATTTAGATAAATTTATTAATAATTTTATAATCTTTTAATAAATTTAATAAGTATTTTATAATTTTTTAAACTTTATTGACGAAAATGATCATTTTATATAACTCAACGATATCTAATATACTTTATTTGAAAAAAAATATATTAAATAAATATTATACGAATTTTATTATTATAAATTATTACATCTACGGACTATTAGATTTTGGTTTTAATATTATATATCATTTTAAAAATTATTATTAAATCAATCGATAATGAAATCAATTTGATGTTAATTCAATTTGTTTGTTTCGGTTTAAGTAATTGTTAAAAAATTATATTTTAATTCTCAATTATTATCGATTCACAAATATATCAATACTCGATTTTATAATATCATTTAAATCATCTTAATTTATTTGAGTGGTACAATCCGATTCCAGCAACATCAAAAAATATATATAATATATACTTCATATAATATACATCAATTAGTATTTTTTCTATTTAGAAAAAATATATTATTTGTTTTTTATTTATTTATTCTGTATAAAAGGACTTTCGTACTTTACCAGAATTAAATGATATGAATCAGATTTTTCAATAGTGTGAATATTTTTTTATTAAAACATTTATCTAAATACTATAAAATAATTATTATATTATCGAACTATTATAATTTATTACAATATTATAGTGACTATTTTGTAATAATTCATTAAATTTAATGACATTTTATAATTTTTAAAAAATTAATAGCAAAAATGGTTCTTTGAAGAGGTTAGAAGAGCTTTGAAGATATAAGTCCACGTCTGCGCCAAGAAGAGGACGCGCAGACGTTAGAAAAGCTTATGTCTTCTAAAAAACAAACGGTCTGCGAAGTCCAATGTCTGCGCGTGGTCTGCGCGGCGCAGACATAAGAGCTTTGAAGACCTTAAACAGTGAAAACAAACACCATCTAAAATGTAGGACTATACATTGCACCACCAATAATTATCATGTTCACCGTGAAGTATGTTATAATATCGAAACGATGATTACCAACAAATAAATAAATACGATCGAAAAAAATAAAGAACATCAAGATTTATGTGGAAAGCTTAAAAAGGAAAAACCGCGGGTAAAAGAGAATAATTTCACTAATATGAAGTAAAAAATAAAATAGGATTTTGGTAAAAGAAAAAAAATATCTAACTTTTACCTTTAGTATCTATTTATAGGGATAGATACTTAATTACAAAGGAAAACTAAATAAAATAAAAATCTACTTTAATAAAGATCTCTACTTTAAATCAAACTAAATTTATTACTTTACCAAATTTATATATTAATTAATTTATGTTCGAATAAAACTTTAACAAAGTGATTAAAAACAAGTGTCGGTAAACAAATTGATTAAAAACAATTGGTGTCGGTAGTGCTTACAGTTGCGTGCATACTTTCATTTCTCATGTTAGATGCATGTTGGATTTCATTATCAGGTTTAATTTAAAGTCATGTCGTTTTTAAGTCGAGTGCATATCAAATCCATCTATAAAATAATTAGGTATCATTTCGATTTTGGTCAACACCAATTCGAATTTAAATCAATTTCAAATTATTACTATTTATAATCATAAACAATTCAAACTCAAATTGATTTCAGTTATTTTTATGTCAGGATCAATTTTTTTACATTCCTATTTCTTGGTCAAGGTGACCTATGTAGGGTCTGTCTCAAGAAAGACGGACTAATATAGGCTAAGAAACAGCTTGATCAAAAATTTAATAAGATACTTAATAAAGTTGGTTTAGCGCTACTGGAAATGTTGACTAATAATAATGTTGTAGGTGGAAAACATAAAGAAATATTAAAAACTTTGACAATAGGCAAACTTAGCTTATCGGTACGTATCGATATCATGCACATAAATATCGATATATATAGTAATATATATGATGAAAACCGGTTAAAAGTAGACATGTATCGATACCTTTATAAGTATATGTATAAAAGTATTGACACTTTAGTAATTTAAAAGAATTGTAATAAAAACATCTATAAAGTATCAATACCTTACCCACATTTATCGATACATGACAATATAACAGGTTGAAATTTAACAAATCCAGTTTCAATTTGACAAAACATGTAACGAATTTGACAAAGTCAATTGAAAATTGACAAAACCAGTTGAAATTTGAAAAACCAATTTCAATTTGAGAAAACCGGTAAAGAGCTATCAAAATTGTTGTAATTTGTATCGATACATTTATAAGTATATGTACTAAAGTATCGATACTGTAGGAATTTAAAAGAAATGAAAAAAAGGAAAATTGTCTCGAAAATATCGATACCTTACACACATGTATCGATACATGACAATATATCAGGTTGAAGTTTGAAAAAACCGATTTCAGTTTGACAAAATCAGTAAAGAGATACTGGAATGGTTGACATTTGTATCTATACTTTTATAAGTATATGCACCAAAGTATCGATACTTTAAGAATTTAAAAGAATTGCAATAATAGCGCCTATAAAGTATTGATACCTTAGACACATGTATCGATACATGACAATATAACAGGTTAAAATTTGACAAAATCGGTTTCAATATGAAAAAATCGGTAAAGCATGTTGACGACATCAATACTTTTATCAGTATATGTATTATAGCATCGATACTTTAGGAATTGAAAAGAAATGAAAAAAATGAAACATTATAACAAAATGGGTTTATAGCGATATTTTTTTTAAACAAACACCAATAACTTTATTGTTATCGTGACGTTTCTAGAACAAACGTCATAAAATAATAAATTTCACGACGTTTTGATAGAAATGCCACTAGTTTTATGTATATCACGGTGTTTTAAATAAAAACGTAACTAAATACTCATACTTTAGAAGTGTTTTTATACAATACCGCTAAAAATCCGTACGACGTTTGTGTTTACAAACTCATCAAGTTTACATTTTCTAAATCTCGTACCTCTTTAATCCTTTTTCATTTTTTTCTCCTTCACCTAAATTTTCATTCCCTTCGTTTACCCAAACCGATCATTTTTCCCAAAATGTCATCACTAGAGATGTCTCACATCGATTTAGAGCAAGGGACTCACCGCCACAACGGGAGTGACGTAAGCGTCGGAGAGGCAAGCGTCTGCTTCTCGGATGGCTACGAGGGCTCTTGCTTCTTTCAGTTTTATTCCACTGCAGGTGGTTCTCACGACGGCTACAGTATCGCCTACGGAGAAATCGGTGGTGCTTCGGATAGGAGGGGATGTTCGACCTCGGATTTCTCGGTGGAAGCGGAGATCCAGAGGGGGTCCCGGAGATCAAGATGCATTCAGCCAAAGTTGAGAGGGATTGTAGGATTTACCATGTGGGTTTGGAAAGTAATAGCCGTGAATCTGGGGTTCCTATCGAACTGGTTGTTCTTGTAAAGATGATCTTGCTGTTGCTCATAAACATTGTGCTGAAGCCTGGTTTAAGATCAGAGGAAATAAGTAAAACAATTCGAACATTTTTAACTTATTGGTGAAAACTACAATTCTAACATATTTTAACTTACTGGTGAAAACTATCTTTCCATGGAACTTTTGATGATTGCATAAACTAGGAATTAATTACTGTTTCTTGACAATGTTTTTATAGTTTACTAATCAGACATACACTAGAGATTGACTGTATGATAATTGATTATTTTGATGTTAGTTTTGCAAATCCTAGCTTGTTTGCCAGCAGTTGTACTAACTGAACATTACACTTAAGTGGTTGCTTAGGCCCCAATCCCCTAATTGACTTGGATGATTAATCAGATAGGATTTTAAGCTCGAAAACTTGACATATTTGGAGTACTGGTGAAGAATGCGTATAAGCATATGTGGAATACTCGAAAATTCAGTTGCTGTCAAACGGAATTGCTGTGAAACAGATTTGTATGTATAAGCATAAAAGTGAAAATTTCTCCCTGTGCATATTAATGCGTAGGAAAAATTAATTTGGAATATTCAAAATTATTTTGGAAAAGTTTATTTTACAGCATATTTTTAATTTTCTTTATTTGTTTTTCAATTAAACAGACAGATTTTTGTAGCATAAATGCAAGAGATGGATGCTATATAGTAATCTTTGATTCATCTGACCCAATTTTTGTACTGTGATGATTATAGCTATCTATAATGTATATCTTTACATTAGATTGAAGAACGGAGATAGCCTTACAGATTGTCTCAAAAGATTTCCTTTTGCTTAGCATTGCAACAGTTTTTATGTCTACTATCATTTTGTTTTCCATTTTAGAACATTTTAAAACTTTCACTGCTTAGTAGAACCTTTTTAGTTCAGACCATAAAATGATAGTCTAGTTATATGCTATGTGACCTAGACCAGAAAAGGGAGGGGTAGGTTGTTAATTAACAGTCTTGTTTGGTACTTTGTAGAAGAAAAACGAAACATGGTGCAGTCTTGTTTCATCAACTCCTTGATTTTTAAATGTACAAAAAAGTGTTGGGAGAAGGGGAAAAAAGTCTCCTAATGTTCTAATGTTCTTTGTGACATGTATGGAGAGTCCAAAAACTGTTATTTATCGCTGTGGTAGAAATTACTTATGTATTGGTTTTTACTTCTTTAGGTGTGCTATTGAATGGTTGAATGAGAAGTGCCTTTATAAATAGTTGATTATATTGTTTTAATTTTATGCTTGCAATGAAGCAAAATATTATTGTCGGATATGTGTCTTTGCTTTTGACCCTATGGTATCTAACCTCAATAGGTTCTAATGCATCTGCCCCAAATTCTTATGCACCTTTATCTAATGATGCCACCAAAGCTGCATCATCAGTTTTTGTGAACTTACAACATCTAAGCTTAGGGAAGGAAGAGGGAACAATGACTCCTAAAGAGAATAACTGTGGAGTCGTGCTTCCGGATTATTTTCAAGCCCTTTTTCCTAATGTTCTAATGTTCTTTGTGACATGTATGGAGAGTCCAAAAACTGTTATTTATCGCTGTGGTAGAAATTACTTATGTATTGGTTTTTACTTCTTTAGGTGTGCTATTGAATGGTTGAATGAGAAGTGCCTTTATAAATAGTTGGTTATATTGTTTTAATTTTATGCTTGCAATGAAGCAAAATATTATTGTCGGATATGTGTCTTTGTTTTTGACCCTATGGTATCTAACCTCAATAGGTTCTAATGCATCTGCCCCAAATTCTTATGCACCTTTATCTAATGATGCCACCAAAGCTGCATCATCAGTTTTTGTGAACTTACAACATCTAAGCTTAGGGAAGGAAGAGGGAACAATGACTCCTAAAGAGAATAACTGTGGAGTCGTGCTTCCGGATTATTTTCAAGCCCTTTTTGCTAATGGCTCACATTAGAACTCGGTACCTACAAATCTGGCAAGAGTACATCATTGCCCCAGCCACAAACATCTAGTTCCTTGACAAATAACTTGGAAGAGACCTTGATGACATCAAATGGTTGTTCAACTTCTATATATTTGAGCTCTAGGCATGCATATCCTTAACGAGTTCCGGTTTTGGCTTCTTTGTTCATTGTAGTTCATGATATTTGACTGTCTTTCTTTGAAGGAACCTGGTATATCATGATAAAGAGCAGCTTGAATTTGATTTTGATAGTCATAGAGCAACAACAGATGCTAGGAACTATATTTCACATGTGTTTTCACAGTCAGAGCTTAGGAAACTAGATATTCCTGATGCAACAACTCTTGGGAATGATTATGTGTCTCATGCATCTATTCTTGGTTCAAGTTTCAAGAACGTTGAACAATCTTCCTCTTCTTTTGTGATTGATCCAAATGCTAGAAATCTTCCTACTATGCCGGTGAATACTTTTTCTTTAAGAGTAGGTTTTCCTTAGAATTGAACTAGTTTTTACGCATTTTAGTTTGTTGTGATATGTTCTCAATTGTGAAATTAAATGTAATGCTTATGTTCAGTTGCTTACTATCTCTATAATATTAGCAATTAACATTTGAAATTGATAATCCAAAAATACGAAATGGATAAGAGTTGGATGAATTTGTTATGGGTAAGCAACGAATATCGAAATGAAGTTGAAACTGAAGCAAGGAAAGCAGAGAGAGAATCATCATATAAAAAAATGTGAAGACTTTCAAAATCAACTTCAAGCTATGATGCAGATGATACGACAAAATCAACCCTAGAGTCCACCATCTTAGGTGTTACTATTGTTTATTTTAGTTAACAATGTTGAACTACATTATATTTTATGTTAATGTAAACTTTGATTTGTTATTATGGATTTCAAGTATCTTGTTATGGATTTCAAGTTTGTTGTTATGGATGTCAAGTTTATTGGACAATGTTACATGTTAAATTTGGGTAACAAAAGAGTAGAAAACATCATTTGAAAAATTAGTTTTAATTTGCGGTGTTTGTATAAAAAAACCACTAAATACATAGTCAATACCGACATTTTTGAAAAACACCACTAAAGTTTTAGATTTTTTACAGCGCTTTTAAAGAAAACTAAACTATATAAATAGTAAATAGTGGCGTTTTACATTCACAAACGCCACTATATGACATAACATTTAGCGGCTTTTTTGGGAACAAAGTAATTATATGTTATAAAATTTAGTGACGTTTTTGGGATAAAATGCCACAAAAGAAAAGATAAATAGTGACGTTTGGAAAAATGCCACTAAATACCATAACCTTTAGTGGCATTTGTAGAAAACGCCGTTAAAACATAACCTTTAGCAACGTTTGTGAATTAAAAATGCCACTACCTTTTGCGGCGTTTGTTTCAGTGGCTTTGTTTGCGACGTTTGTTTTTGCGCCACAAAGGTTTTTAGTGGCGCTTAAAAACTTTGCTTTATGACTGAAAAAAAAACGCCACTAAAAGCCTGTTTTATTGTAGTAAAAATGTCTCAAAAAGTATCGATACCTTACACAAAAGTATCGAGACTTGGGTAATGATATTGATTAAATATAAATAACATATCCAGTTAAAATATCAAAGGCATTGTTAACAGAGATATAGATAGAAGACGACCGTAGTTTTTGAAATCGAAGTGTATTAGTTTATGCGAAATAGAAGCAAGGCGTTTTTGAAAGCGTAGTTGTTTGTTTGTTGTTGCAATCAAATAGAAAGGTATGTTGTCGAAACCCTAGGTTTTTAGTATCGTAGTATTTGAAAATAGGGGTTAGGTTTATGGGTTTGTAGTTTTCGAAGTAAAGAAGGATTTGAGATCGATTACAGTTATAAAGTGATATTATAGGAAGAAAATAAATATCAATACTTTTATATAATATTATAGGTAGAAATTGATATTGTAGGTTGTATAAAGGCACCGATACTTGTAGTAGAGAGTATTCTCATTCCTTTGAAGGAAACCCAATTACTATATGATTAATTAGCGATACTTGTATATTAAATAAACTGTATGTAACTTGTATTTGATTTAATGCTTGAATATTCATAAAATGATATATAAAGGAAAAATGAAGTCAATGGATCTTGTAATTGTTGTTCGCGAAGATAACATTGAAATGGAGCCTGAGAGTATCAACAATGAAGAAAATTGAAAGCAACCACTGAGTGGATATATGTACTTCTAGTAAGTATCAATGTATTTGTGTAATTATTGTTGAAATGATAATTGGATTAAAGTATTTAAGAACTTTAAATTGATTACAAAATTCAAATCTTGATAGTATGACTAAATGCCAAAGGATAAATGAAGCTGGTAATTATAACATCGGTTCGATATGTAAACTGAAATTGACATTGAGTATTATTTAAAGTTAATTTGTTGATTAAGAAATATTTATTCTTAATTTCAAGTGAAACATGAGGTGTTGGAGAAATGGAAGTCGATGAGTGATACTGAGAAGGAACCGTATGTGACACTGTCCAAAAAGGATAAACAATAATATAAAACTTGGAGGAAAGCACATGAAAAGAATGTATTCATTAAACTTGTAAATACTATGATAAACGATATATATAAAAACACTAACATTATATATTTTTTAAAAAATGTAGGAAATGTCGACAAAGTATAGTATCAAAGAGTGAAATCCATAATTGAACACTTGAAGAAGAAGAATAAAGTTCATGTGATGGAAGAAATGGGGTTTGGAGCTTTGATAGGAGTGGGGGATTGACCAATTCGGAGGGAATTGTGTCAATTGTTGATGGAGGAATTTGATGTAGAAAAATGTAGAGTTCAATATGGCGATTATTCATTTCCTCTGGGGGTCCCATCTGTTGTAGCTGTATTGGGGCTAGAAGATAAAGACAATAGTGTTGAAGAAGTTATTAAGAAAAAGAACTGGAAAGCACTTGCCAAGAAATATGATTTAAAGCCCAATGTGACATATGCTGGACTTGAGGTGGAAATTAAAAGTAGAGCTTATGAAGGGGATAACCTGAAGGCCCGTGTACTATTGTACCTTATCAGAATCTTTCTTTGTCCAACAGGTGATACATCCCCGAGCAAGGACAATATCAAGTTTATTTGCGACGAAGGGTTGAAAGGTGAATTGAATTAAGCTGAATATGTCCATGATAAATTTATTGAATCAATAATTAGCTTTTAGAAGGGTTGAATTCACACATACCTCAAATGGTGCTTAGCAATCTTAGAGGTAAATAAGTTGAAGGATGTGTTGGGTTAGAAAACTTTTAAGCATAATTATTATAGAAAATAATAAATTTCATTATAAATGCAGGTTGTATTGTTTGATTTGTGGTCTGATTGTGCAAGTGTGTTGACATTCCAAAGAACCAGAATGGAACACATTCGTGCATAGTGAAATGAAGAAGTAATTCAAGTGATGGCAAAATTGAAGTTGAAAAGACCAAGCAACCAAGAAAGGGTAATAAAAGTAATTTTATAATATTATGATTATAAAAATGTATTAATGTTGTAAGTTAATTTTAAAGGTTATTGGCAAGGAGGAACAAGAGGAAAATGAGGAAGAATAGAAGGAAGAAGAGAAGGTAGTAGGGGGATTATGGTCAGGGGAGTGCAAGTAAATTTGACATTTTGATGTCTGAGTTGGCGGAGCTAAAAGAAAGCCATTTTTGATTGTTTGGAAAGACAATCCAGAATCAAAGAGGCAATTGAGAGCCTTAAGGGGGAAGTGGGTGGAAAAATTGATGGAGTGGTGAAAGAAGTGGTGGAATTGAGGGGTAAATTTAAGGGGGTGACGGGAGAGGTTGAAAAAAAATCAACAAAAGGGAAACATGAGGGCTGAAATAAAAGATTTTAAGAGTTATGTAGAGGAAAAATATGATGAATTTAAAAAAGATAAAGAAGAAAAGTTGGATGCAGTGAGGACGAAGGATGTTAATGTTATGAGGATACCAGAGAATGTAATTGATGCTGATATGGAATCAGAATGTCCTGCACCAAAGAAGAAGAAGCTAAGGTAAGATGAATAAAAGAAAATTGAATTTGATTTTTATTATTGTGTCGCGACTAATATTTATAATCAAAATTGTAGGTTGAAAAAGTAAAAATACCAAAAGAAATTGGTGCATTTGAAAGTGGAATGTGTGAATATGGAATAGTGGGTTACCATTGAGGTTAATAATATATATTGCTTTTTGAGTGATTTAAATATTTCATGACAAAACATTAATCAAAATTTATTATATAACGAAGTTGTAATCCAGTTGGGAAACTAATTCGCCACAGTATCCAACGTTGCAACATTAAAACATATGGCATGGGTTGCGGTCTGGTAAGTAGAAAGTATAAGTTGTTAAAAACTAGTGAATATGTTGTAATTGTGTAGTTAATTTTGTTAGGTTATTGATTTGGTCGACTGGATGTTGGTTAACGATTCGAAGAAGATACCGGGGAAGCGGAATATTGCCTACCTTCCATACAATTTTACGGTGAGTTAAATTAATAAATGTTGAAAAGTAGTGTTATGGATAGTCAATTAATAATGATTGTCGAGGAAATGTAGACAATGGTGTTAGATCACACGCCACGTATTGATGATGTTGCGGGCTTTTGGGAATATATATTGAAAAACTATTCAAAATTAACCAATTGTGACACTGTAAGATACCATATGATTTGCAAATGGTGTTTTGTATTTAAATATTTATAAAGAAATGTTGTAATTTGTTAAATTGGGTGTGACATTTATTGCAAAGCTTCATTACAATAAACAACAGTTAGATCTATTAGTATCTATTGGTGTTGGATATGGTTTCTCGTGTTGCAACGATTTATGATAATCTATTTACAATGCCAAGGGCCAAAAAGAGACTGCAAGATGTGAGGAAATTGGTATGTATGAAAGGAAACAATAATGCATAATGCATAATTTGTTTGTAATATAACTTGATATTTTTCACGCAAATGATTGTATTAGATAAATATAATAAGGAAGATATATTTGTAAGTGCATGTGGGAAGTTGAAGGTCTCATTGAAAGGCTTCAACTTTGTGGAACATAAAATGAATATGCATTTGAATGGGTATGAAATTTGAGCATAAATTGAATGCACAATTTATAAGGGTTTCATATTTGACATTTATGGTATTCAATTTTTTTAACAGACATGATTGCAACATTTATGTGATGATGTGAATGGAATAGATCATTGCTAGAGGGTCAACAGATGATTTGGTAAGTGGAATGAAAAATTACCTTGCAGTTAAAATGTTAAAAGTCGTAGATTGAATGATGTGGTTAACATACTGACACTTTGAATATAGGTTGTTGAAGATTGGGATCGTATGAGAATATTAAACAATCTCATATGTGATGTTGTAAGCCAAATTTTGTATGTGGATGAAATTATGTATGTGATGACCAAAGTTAATAATAGGTTGTTGTACATGTTTGTTATACATACCTATTGTTATTTACGATATATGTAGATCGATACTTGCAGTATTCCAAATGTTGTCGTTGTCCTGAGACGTAATAGACATATTGAAATTATAAATAAGCATTGAAAATTGAAGACATCATAGTAAAATAGACATAGTAACTCCCATCATTGTCGTTATTTGCGGGACCGTACAACCATTCCATTATGTCTTCAAAAAAATATGTTGATGTAAGATGTGTGCTTGTTTTCAAACTGAGCTTGACTTATGGACATGTTAGTTTGTTATGTCCCTCACCGTTGCAGAACCCATATCACCTAATTTTCTTTTCGAGATTATTCTTTTGTACGTCTTTTCGCTTTCTTTATTTTGTTTATGGTCGTAAACATTGTTTACGACATTGCTTCGATTGACTGAATCTTTCAAACTAAATGAGTGTTCAAATTCAACCGTTAGTCTTTTCATCTCATCTCTTGCGGTTATGAAAGAAACATCTTTCTTTGATGCAATATATTATAAACGACTTGACGTTGGATTTAGAGAAGCAAACAGTGCCATTTACATAACTTCTTGGGGTTCATTCAAGTTAACAAAACTTGATGCACAAGCCTTCGCATCCTTAGTCCACCTATTTAGAATCAAAGACTTAGGCATAGATGTTTAATCCAAGTGCTTCAAAACGTGAAGTTGATGGAGACATGGAATTCATACGGTCTCAAATTTTCTATACGAACATGTTATGATTTCTGTACCGACATCAAAACTAATTTCAAATATCTTATTTTTTTCTTTGTACTTTGTCAAAATAAAATTTTGACAATCATCTGATAAGGATTGAATCTGTTCCTGAAGCCGGTACAAGGTCTCCCATTGAAGTTATTCTTGGAACAAATGAAATGATTCACGCGTATAAATTTCAGCAGCATGACTTTCTAGGTCAATCGATTTTGTGATCTGGAAGGACTTTCTCTGGGAACTTAAGTAATCCGTTCTCAACTCGTTGATACGCATTTTACTAATTCATTCTTCAATTACATGAACAACATCTAAATATGTCTTCGTGTTTTCAGTGCAATCGCGAGTGAAGCATTCATAGACTCACACCTTTGTGTAGAGCAAATATTGGCAAAGAAATGACCAGTTAGATATGCTTATGCCCATAAGTGCTGAGTATTTCCCTTTTAAATCACCCATGGATGTTTTTTGACATTGAATTCTGAAACAATTGAACGCCATTGAATATCAAAATTTTCTGTTGTCCAGCAGGAAGTCATGTATGTAGAAAATGTTGTTGTAAATTTACGATCACCAATGTTAGTTTGTGCATTGTGAGAAAGATGACAAGAACATAATTTGTTCTTAGCAAAAGGGATAATAGATTTGATAGCCCTCTGCATTACTCTATCCCCATCGGCGACAACTGAAAGAGGTGATTTATTCATCATGGCTTGTAAAAAAATTTTTAGCACCCACTCGAAATTCAGCGATGATGGAAGTAGCAAATACTATTGGTTATGGTGATGGTTGACACCGAAAATAGGCATAATTGGTCGACCATACAAACTATCTTTGCATGTTGTATCGAATGCAATTACATCACTAAAGCACGTGTAATCTGATCTAGATGTTGAATCAACCCAAATAAGATTATGCAATGCCCCTGATTCATCTACTGAGTATGTCATAAAAAACCCGAGATCATCTTGTTTCTTATAATCAAAGTAAGCAATTAGTGCATTGACGATTTCCTTTGCTTTACCTCTTCGAAGTGCATTGTAGAGGTCTTTATATGTAAATCCAACATTGTGATAACCCCTTCCTGATGCGTGAAATAATTCATTACTTGTGATGTCCAACACCAACATCTTCCAATGTTGTTGACTCATCCACATCAGCCTTACTCACAGCTCTATTTGAATACATAAATGGTGTCATAACAGTTGTGAACAATGCATGATTACGTTCCTGAAAAGACTTACTTAGAACCCATTGATCGTTTGTATTTGTTTCCATCACCAAGACTTTTGCCTTGCATCCGGTTCTTATGACTGGTGTATAAGCACGTTGACGATCAATAATATTGACTTTGGATAACCGAAACCCTTCTTTTGAACAACAAAATTCTTGTGTCTTCACATTCCCTTCCCTATCAAGGCGTGTTGTTCCTCGAAGTGCACTAAAACTATGTTTCCGTGCGTATTCCTTGTAAAAGTCCCAAGCTTCCTCATGTGAAGAGAAGAGCTGACTAATCGATCTTTTAGATTCATCAACAATAAGTACTTGATAGCATTCCTCGCTCAGCTTAACATCGTTTGATTTAGTATGGTCCATAAATAATGGCTCAAAAGTACGAAAAAATATGTTTGTTTTAGGAAAGTTCATTTATATTAGGAGGTGGTAGTTGAAGGGTTGGTACAATATTTATTTCTTATGACATATTTAGGTATGTACAATTAATAAGCACCAAATTCAATAAATTAAACTGGATGTATCGATACTACTAATGTAAATATTGATACTTGATTATAAGTTTATACACGTTTTATGTAAGTATGGATACTTGTTGTGCCGATTTCGATACTTTTATTACAGTATGCTTGTAAGTATCAATACACATTATTAAAGTATCAAATTTTATAATTTCGAAACAATGTATGCAAAATATGAAAATGTCCAATTTCGATACTTTTTATATCTGTATCGATACTTTTATTCTAGTATGGATATCAAACAATTTACCCTCAACAAAGTATCTATACTCATATATAAAGTATCAATACATGTAATTTTGAAACCTATTACTTTACAATAATAGGTAAATATATGTTCATAACAGTAAAAATCTGTTGGTTGAATGATAATAGGCATAAACATAAAGTATTGATACTTACTAAATACATATCGATATTTTTAGTCCAGTATGCATCTCAAACAATTTGCTCGTAAAAAGTATCAATACACATATAACAAGTATTGATACTTATAATTTCGAAACCTATTTCTTGAAATAGGTAAATTTATAATGAAAACGGTAAAAATCTAATGTTTAATGATAATAGACATAAACATAAAGTATCGATACTTATTATATAAGTATCAATACTTTTATTCCAGTGTGCATCTGAACAATTTGCACGCAAAAAAATATCGATACATGTATAACAAGTATTGGTACTTATAATTTTGAAACCTATTACTTTAAAGTAATAGGTAATTTTACAACGAAAAATGGTAAAAATCTATCGGTTTAATGATAATAGGCATAATCATAATGTATTGATACTTATTATATAAGTATTTATACTTGTATTCCAATATTCATCGCAAACAATTTGCATGCAAAAAGTATCAATACATGTATCACAAGTATCGATACTTATAATTTCGAAACCTAATACTTTAAATTAATAGGAAAATTTACAATGTAAACGGTAAAAATCTATCGGTTTAATGATAATATGCATAAACATAAAGTATCGATACTTTTTTGTATTGGTATCGATACTTTTAGTCCAATATACTTCTCAACAATTTGCACACACAAAGTATCGATACACGTATTACAAGTATCGATACTTATAATTTCGAAACCTATTACTTTAAAGTAATAGGGAAATTTACAATGTAAACGATAAAAATCTACCGGTTTAATGAAATGAGGTGTAAACGTAAAGTATCAATACTTGTATTCCAATATGCATCAAAAACAATTTGCATGCACAAGTATCGATACACGTATCACAAGTATCTATACTTATAAATTTGAAACCTATTACTTTAAAGTAATAGGTAAATTTACAATGTAAACGGTAAAAATCTACTAATTTATTGGTAATAAGCGTAAACATAAAGTATCAATACTTTGGTATAGGTATCGATACTTCGATCTAAACAACACCGATACTTTCAATAGAATTATCGATATTAAACCGATTAATCGGTTATGTTAACAAATATTTTACCAGTTACAATATTATTAACCTATAAACAAAATGGTATCGATGTTCAAGTATTAGGTCGTGCCTCTTTTTTTATTCAATAGACACATTTTTTTCTTTTTTATTTTAAAAAGAATCGATCCTCCATACTTGTAATTGAAACTTTGCTCCCCCAAAAGGAAGAAGAGAACACTTCCACTCCAACGAATACCACCGTGAAGAAAAATTACACCTTTCAAGCTTCCTAAATATCCATTCAGCTGGAGACATTTCTTGCAACTATTACGATAAGATTTGCAGGTAAATTTACAAATAGTTTTCCTTAAATTAGGGTTTTAGTGATTTAGGGAATCAATAGTTTTTTTCTTAATGTGCTTGTGTTTCATGTAACAACCTTTATATCCACTCCTAAAAATGGCTCCAAAACTTACGAGATGCAATTCTTCTCAACAAAAACCTTTTTCTAAACCAAGGTCATCTTCTCAATCAACGTCTTCTTCTCAAGTAAGGGCTTTTGACCAAATTAGGTCGTTTGATACAAACAATTCTAGAACCAATAAAGAGAAAGGAAACTTTTTATTAGTTTTTCAAAGTAAGAAAGATTTGTCCTGAACGTGTTATTGACATGGATTTCATGTTCAATGAAAAATATAAATTTGATTTTAAACATATATTTACAAATTGGGGTTGACTTGAATTTCTTGGTGTAGACCAAAATATTTCCCAAACCTTGTTCGAGTGTTCTAGAATAATGTTTCATTCCACTGTGAGCCTAATAGGAACAACATCATCAGAATTAATACTCATGTAATGGGGAAGGATATATATATATATATATATATATATATATATATATATATATATATATATATATATATATATATATATATATATATATATCTTTGGAATCTTTTGCTGTAGGTATATGTGTCAAGAATAAATAGGATTCCGATGAAACTGATTTAGATCCTACAATTAAACGTGTGGATAGAAATAAACCCACTCATTTATATATGGAGGTCAGAGTGTTTCACAAAATTCTCACTTGGTTTATTCAATCTTCTGGTGGAAAAGTTTTCGTAATTCGAGATATCGATTATTGGTGGTTAGTGAAGTATAGCTCAAAAATTGCTCCAAACATTGCACAAATGATATTTGAGACACTTGTTAATTTAGTCAGAAAGGGTGAATCCATTACAACTTCACTACCATATGGATGTGTCATTACCTATCTGTTGAAGAAGAATGAACTGGATTTTTCGCTTGACTACCCTATTCGCTTATCCACGAAGATTGACATGTTATCCATGACTAAAGCCGGATACGAATTTCTTGAAAATGTAGGTTGGACTAAAAAAGATGGCATTGGAGTAGAACAAGAGAAAGATCAATTTGACCCTATTAACAAGGACGACCAACAACTGATGGAAAACACTATGATGGAAGACGCTAGGGTTGAAGAGGAAATTAAAATGAAATCAGTGATGGAGTACATGGTTAATTTTTACGATCATTTTAATTCTCGTGTGGGGCACATTAATGACCAAATTGGAGAAATGTGGGTAGATATTTCATTATTGTGCGATGAAATGTCCAACTTGCGTAACGCATTCCGTCAATGACATCATACGAGTTAGGTAATTCATTCTTTATGTTCTAAATATTTACATGTTGTAAAATGTATTTGCTTTTCTTATAACAGCAGTGGATAAGGTAGTGGACAACCAAGTGCTGAATGAAGAGGATGCCATTACATATGATGAGGATGAAGATAAAAAAAATATACGGTGCCTGCAACACCACCGACAATAAAACTTGTCTTTTTTTTATATCAATGAAGTCCTTGCATACTTTTCAAAAAACTCTAAAGGTTTTAAATTTGTTCATTTCTATACATTATTTTAACCTATAAACATACACTTTTAATGTCATTTTATTCATATTGTAGATGTTATACTAAGACCAGGTGTATATGAATTTCTTCATTTTTGTTAAGAAAATTTTGTTGTTGCCATTTGGTCTTTGAAGTTGAGGTAAGCACTGTTAAGCAATTGAATTACTATAGATAAATGGATAATTTACAATTGAATGTTAATTTCACAAATTGTTAACAATTTTAGACATAACATTGATCGTGCACTAGACAAACTACCTTTATTGTGTGACCAGTTTATATTCATTTGGGTAAGATGCATGTTTTTTATGTTACTTACTTTTACTTGTTTATGATTCCTATAAATTTATGTTTGACTATTTCTATAAACAGGATCGAGGAAAGTGCAAAAAAAAAAAAAAAGATGAAGTTACCTACTGTAAAGATCTACAAGATGTTTGGAATGTGTTTCCTCAATACAACCCGGGAAATACACTGTTGGTGGATGATTCAACAGAAAAAATGATTTATAATCTAGTAAGTTACATGTTTGTAATGTGTTCTTTCTGTTAAGCTATATGTTCATACATTGGTTCATTTACAATTTATGTATTTACATAGCAATACAATTATATATGTACACATTCCTTTGACTCTTCATCTTGGAACGACAATGCTTTAGGTATGACACAAATTTATGCCTACTTATACAAAATTGGTTTCTTATTACTTTATTGAGCATGTTTCATTTGCTAATTTCAATTATTTATATATGTTCTCAGCAAAAGTCTTAAACATCCGTGAGTATTTGAAAAATTTGTCGAAGGCGCCTAATGTTCCAGACTTTGTCAGAAATAACCCTTTTCTTCAGTTTAATTTTTTTGTGGGTAGAAAATTAGAACATTGTTATGTATACCATTGTTTTATATGTTTGGTTTACTTATATTGTGTGTATATTTTTTATCCATACACATAATTAGGGTTGTAAATGAGACGAGACAGATCGTGAGCTACTCGAGATCGACTCGATCAAGGCTCGATAAATACTCGGATCGAATGGACTCGACTCGAGCTCAACTCGAGTTCTTATCGAGCCGAAACGAGCTACTCGATATTTGACTCGAAAAGCTCGTGAGCTACTCGAAAAAATTTTATATTATAATTTTAGATTTTTTAAAACTACATTATTAAAAATATATTTAAAATACATTATTGATAATTATAAAATTTTAAAAATATATAAAAAATTCTATAATACAACTACCATCAAATTTTATTTTTTTAATTAACCAGCCCAAGTCCAATTGTTACATTGTATATTACTAAAAGAAAAATAAAAGTCCATTTAATTAAGCACATGTTAAATTACATGGTTTTGGTTGATTTTTTTCTTTTTTTTTTTTTTAACTTTTTACTGTACAAGTACTTGACAACGTAGAAAAATAAAATAAAAAAATAACCAAACAATAGAAAAATTGAAAATGGTTAAAAATTATTTTTGAATAAATATTATTATATTT